TAAACATTTCTCCCCAGAAAAGGCTCATGAAAATTCCATCTCGGTCGGAGACGATGGCGTGGGGAAAACCATGCAATCTGACAATTTCTGTAAGGAACAGGTTGGCGACCTCTTGAGCTGTATAAGGGTGGCACAAGCGAAGGAAATGTTTGTACTTCGTAAGGCGATCCACCACAACCAAAATGGTATCCACCCTATTTGCCTTACGAAGTCCTTCAATAAAATCCAGGGATATGTCCTCCCAAACCTGAGAGGGGATGGGCAAAGGTTGTAAAAGGCCCGCAGGTTGCAATGCATCGTATTTATTCTGTTGACAAACCGAACAAGCCTTAACATAAGCTTGGACATCCTGCCTCAGACCTTCCTAAAAGACCACTTGTGCCAATCTCTTGTAAGTGCAGAAATAACCAGAATGACCTCCTGCGGGGGAGGAGTGAAATTCCTGCAGAAGTTGCTGCACATGGGAACTAGATCTGGGCAACACAAGGCAATCATCATAATAAAGTAAGGAACCCACTAACCTGAAATGCGGATGACTAGAAGGATCAGTAATCAGATCTTGACAAATTTTCTGCAGTTTGCTGTCTCGCTGAATGGCATCTGCCCACTTTTCTTTTTTTGCAAAGTAACAGACCGAAATGGCAGTACACTCAACAGTGCCATCATGTCTAGATAAGGCATTAGCGACTTTATTCTCTAACCCTGGCTTATATTGTATTTCATAGTCCAACCCAAGCAACTTGATTATCCATTTGTGTTGTTCTTCGCCTTGTAACCACTGCTCATTCAGATAGTGGAGGTTATGTTGGTTGGTCCTAATGATGAAATGACGGCCCAATATGTAATGGTGCCATTTCTGGATGGCGAGAACCACAGCCATCAGCTCTCTCTCATATACCGATAGAAGCCGAGAGTGGGTGGAAAGTCCTTGACTCAAGAATGCAAGGGGTCTGCCTTCCTGCATTAGGACAGCCCCGATACCGTGTCCTGAAGCATCTATCTCAATGATGAATGTTTTTGAGAAGTTAGGCATTACAAGGACTGGAACAGTAGTCATAACATGTTGTAGCTCTTCAAATGCTTTCTATGCCAAATCGGTCCAAACAAAGGAATCCTTGCGGAGAAGATTGGTTAAAGGTAGGGCAATTGCCCCATATCCATTGACGAATTTCCGATAGTATCCTGTCAGCCCTAGAAACCCACGGAGGGCTTTAACATCCCTTGGGACAAGCCACTTAAGTATGCACTCCACCTTGGAAGGGTCAATGGCAATACCTTGGCCGGAAATGATGTGGCATAAGTATTCCAATTGATACTGCCCAAATGTGCATTTTTTTTCTGTTAACTACCAACTGATGGTCGAGTAATACTTGAAATGTGATCCTAAAATGGTGCGAATGTGTCTCCGACTTAGTACTGTAAACCAATATGTCATAAAAAAAAAAAAAATCACAATAAACTTACGCAAGTATAGTTTGAAGATGCTATTCATGAGAGCTTGGAAGGTTGACGGGGCATTTGATAACCTGAAAGGCATTAATAGAAATTTGTAGTGCCCCTCATGTGTGCGGAAGTTTGTCTTATGACTATCTTCTTTCCTGACCCGTATTTGATGATACCTGGACTTGAGGTCGAGCTTTGAAAACATAGTGGCACCACTTAACTCATCAAATAGTTCATCCACTGTCGGAATAGGGAATTTATCGGGTATGGTGACTTTGTTGAGCGCTCGATAATCGACGCAGAAGCGCCATCCTCTGTCTTTCTTTTTAACCAAAAGTATCGGGCTGGAAAATGGACTGATGCTCAGTTTAATAATTCCTGAAACCAGCATTTCATGTACAATCTTCTCCATCTCATTCTTTTGTAATATGGGTACCGATAGGGTCTGACATTAGGGATGGGAGCTGCATGTTCTAGCCTGATAGCATGATCACATTCTCTTGCCGATGGTAACCCCAATAAAGGTTCAAATAAGGTCTGGTACTCCTTTAACAAGGCCACTTGATTGCCATCATCCGTTGTGTCTTCGCCCTCCTGCATCTACAAATTATTAAATTCCAACAAGTAGCCTGGTCCTTCGTACTGCAACATTTTCAGTATCTTTTCCAGTGACAACTTTGTTCTGCTCAGAGAGGGGTCCCCAACCAGAACTACTACTCTTTCGGACTGGTTGAATTTCATCACTGATTTTTTCCAATTCATGGTAATCTCTCCCAAGGTTTTCAGCCATGCAACACCTAAAATAACATCAGCACTGGTCATATCGAAGGGGTAGAAATTCTGGAACGCTAAAATATCCTACAATTGCAGCTTCACCGCGTGACACCCCCCTGACAACTCACTCTGTAACCATCACTTACCTTGACTCCAAAAGATTTGGTTAAAGCTATCGCAAGTTCTAGCTCTTCGACTACCTGTCGATTGATAAAATTGTGAGACGCCCCGCTGTCAATTAAAACCACTACACTCTTCCCTGCAATCTCCCATTTTAGCTTCAAAGCTTTGGGTCCACTTATGCCCTCCACTGAACTGATGGAAAGCTCCAAGGTTCTTGATATATCTTCCTCACCATTGGGTTCCTCCACAGACAACTCATTTACTTCTGAATCCTCATCCTCCATCAACAATACCTGCACTTGTTTATCCCCACATCGATGACTCAGTGAGTACTTCGCATCACAACGGTAGCACAAGCCCCTCTCTCTCTTTCTTCATCCTTTTTACGCATCCAATTCTACATATCCATTAAAATCTCCCTCATTGCGTTCACCGTCTCGGTCACTTTAGCAACATCGTTCTCAACATTGTCTATTCTATTATCCATCCTTGTACCAACCATGCCCTGAATCAGTCTTGGCTCTAATACCAGTTTGATGGAACCAACCAAGATTACTCAATTACACCCACATTCAATCAATCACGACATTCTGCAATCCATCAAGAACAGAATACAAACAATGATTGACTCAATTGTAATGATAATTGTATTGATATTCAATGGCAAACTACAATGAAAGTAAATGTAAATGCAAATAGTATGACGAACAGCAATAAAGAAAGGAACACTGGCTTATCTTCGAGGGTCAACTCCTCCCAACAAATTCCACAATATTCTCTTTGATATCTTATCTATCCTCTCTCCTTTCCTTTTATTCCCTTGATTCCTTTGTTAACAATCTCGTCTTGCTTGTTGTGTTGCTGCTTCACCTGTCATGCGTGTCTTTTCCCTTTCTGCCCCTTGCGGTTATAGCATTTGACTATCGGGGGTCCATAAGAGATCAAGGAATAAAGGTGTAATCTTAAGTAAAACACATAACTGAAGGATTCAAGAAAAGTAAAAAAATTCAGAAAGGTTACTGTTGCTTCTAAAGGTGGTTTATTTCTACTCTGCCCACTGATTCTATGGAATAGATTATTTCTTCAGTAAATGCAGTAAAATACCAAATACATGTTTACGTAATTTTATAATAAAGAATTAGATCTCTTATGAAGCTTGCCAAGATGTGGCTTTTAGTTGGGTTATTCTTATTATCTTATTGCATTTCTTCATTTAAAATTTACAGAGAAAGAAACGTATAAGGTTTACCATTAAGAACTGCTTGAGCAAATGAACTCTGCTTCTTCTGAGGAGGCAAGTCATAGTCATTGAGAGATAATTTTCTGCTGGACAACTTTTCGGGGACTACTTTTTCTAAATCAGAAATGAGGGGTTTAGTGGGCAAAGAATCAAAATCAGAAGCTAGATTTCTCTTGGATGGTAAGCGCATGGAACTGCCAAGTCTTGTCAGACTAGTCCCTCTCAGGAAACCAAAGGAAGGAGATACGATACTTGTGTACATGTCCACTGAATCCCTGCATATATACATTCCACAAATACATGTTCAAAGAGAATAGAAAATTGCTTTGCTTATTCTTCTTTTACAGATCGTAAACAGAACTATCAACAACAATAATAATAACAAAACCTGTAGCTCTGAGGCCAAATGGTATGACCATTATCGGTGGCATTATCCGAGGCCATGGAATGGCCAGAGTAATCAGATTCTGAATCATCATTGATTTCACATACCCTTTCTGCCTGATTTTCTTCATCATCCGTCGCAAATTCATCTGCGCGTTCTGTTCCCAGATCCTCATCCATCAGCTTCATATTTTCCTAATTTCTTCAAATATCCTTATTTTTTAACACCCCCACAATATAATACACCTGCACAACTACAAAACTACTGTTCCCTTCTTCTAAACTTGTTTTTCTTTGGGTATCAATATCATGAATACGTAAAATGATTGCAATGAAAGCAGAAAGCCAAAGTAGTGAAAAAGGTGCAGATCTTCTTGTCTTGGTTTCGTCAACCTATAAATCCATGTTAATCGGAAATGGAGGGCGTGCTTTTCTGCAATTAAAGAAGGCTATGATGTTGTGCAAGTATAAACGTGTCATTTGGTCAGCAATTTGCTGGAAGATAATGGATTATTCTCCGAATATTAATAGCGGCCATGCAAACAACTCAAACTCAATCAAAAACTTGTATACCTATTTTGTTTCATTTTTTTCCATATTTGTTGTTGCTTCCTTTCATGTGCTTGTGGCCACTTTTATTATGTGCCTACCTAATACGGTTTTCTTTTCTTTTTCAAGTCTGAATGTTTTCTATCAGTTTTTCGAAATATAAACACAATCATCAAAATACTTAAATGTCAAACCGATAACCACAATTTTGAGACATCAAAATTTTGTAATTTAAAGATAAGTTTGAAGTTTAAAAATGTTGTCTATCTGATAGGAATTTTGATGATGAAGTAGATAAGAATATCAAACTTATGTTTATCTTCAATAAACTGCTTGACTTGATCTTGAGAAACATTATTTCGGTTGAAGGCCCCTCATTTCACAAGCCCGGTGTTCATTGGTTGTTTGTCAGCCCATGAATGTGGCTGAAGAAGCATAACAGTGGGGATAATTTAGGGAAAAGGGGAAAAGAAATTGCGGGCAAATATATTACAAATGTAAAATTAGATTAAAGAAGAAGAAATATATCATCATGGTGATAAACGTAGGAAAATTTGAGGTAGGAGTTACAGTATAACAGTGTCGGGACTTCATGGTACTGAAATTACAGCAGGGCTAAAGTTCAAAATTACAAAACACAGTAATTTTTTATTTATCAATTTGATTGAGCTTTCCAAGGCCACTGCAACGAGCACAGACAATCTGAGTCTCATCCTTTCGAGCTGCGTTTGCCCTCAGGGTAACTCCTGATTTCCGAACAAAACCTGCTCCGTCGCATTCAGGGCAGCTGTAACAAGCCTTTCACATGTGTTAAAAAGAGATGATTTTTCTTCCCTGGGGCTTTAAAGCAAAATGTTCGAACTTAAAACGTTTGAGTTCTTCTTCATCAGTATCTAAAATGTATTTTTTGGGAGCTTTAATAGCTAAAGTAATGAGAATTAACAAATAAAAAAAAAAGGAGATTACGATAGGCAATATGAGAGAAAGAGGTGACTTACGTGTCCTTGCGGGAGAAGAGGACTGGAAAGGCAGTTCCGAGCAGGGCAACAGTGGCTGCACCGATAAATAAGTAGGTGGTGCCATCAGCTGAGACGTCTCCGACGGCTGCAACCACCGTCAATGATCTTTTTTTATTCTTCAACACCCTACCAGTTGGTGTTGGTAAAGCAGAAAAGCCTGTGAGAGAAGGGCTACTTGCTACGGCCAAATGCCTCCTTGTCTTAGTAATAGTATAAAAACTCTGCAGTGGCGCTATTGATGCCATTTTGGTGATGCTAATTCTGATTGTTTTACTCGAAAGAAGATGTTTAAATTGGCTTCAGAAATTGTTGAATGTGAAGGTGACACATATAATGGATAAGGCCACGTCAGAACTCAAGATTGTGGATAAGGGTGGTCCAGAGAACTTCACTGATCCAATGAAAACAACGGAAAAATCCCAGCTTGTTTGTCAACAGAACATTTAACTCCCATATGATATTTACAAATTCTGAAACCATCAAGGGAAGCACAATGCATGTCCCATTATAACTGCTAAACATGGCCCGAGTAAGCCAGTAAATTGTGTGGAACCTTTGCTAAATGTGTGATTTATGTTAAATTCATTGGTTACCATTCATGGACAGAAAGATCTGATCTATTGTATATTTATACACAAGCCTTTTCATGGCTTCTTGAAGATTCCTTCTTGAATTTTGAACGTGTTAATCCTTCCCAGTTCCCACATGCCCTTGACAGTAAGCTCTGTGCATAACAATAACACTACGGACACCGAAATATTAGTACCGAATTTTTGTACCAGCCGACGTGTAACGCGTTTCTCCATTTCTTTATAATTTTTTTCTAGTGAACGGCCGTCCATCAAATTTGGACGGTCGTTCACTCACATGGACGCCCATCCATGTTATATGGACGGGCGTCCATATGCGAGGGACGGCCGTCCATATAATATAGACACCCGTCCCTATTAAAATAAAATAAAAAAATTTGTAAAAGCTTAGGGACAGCCGTCCATCCATTATGGACAGTCGTCCATGTTATATGGACGGCCGTCCATATAATATGGACGCCCGTCCCTATTAAAATAAAATAAAAAAATTTGTAAAAGCTTAGGGACAGTCGTCCATCCATTATGNTAGGAAGTTCAAATTTCAAGTTTGAATTCAAAAATTATAATGGATACAGCTACAAAGTATTCAACAGTTAGGGAAAAAAAAAGTTAATGTGCTCAATAATTTACATGCTAAAATTTTGAAGAACTGTTGTATAGGCATGTTTATATCGCTGCTTCTTAGCATGCCTACCTTTGCTTTCAGTTTGTTGGTAGGGAGGATAAAGAGAGAGGAAAGAAAGGGTAGGAGGGAAGGGAAACATAGAAGAGGGGAAGGAAATTTGCTTTCGTACATGTGTTTGTTTGAAAGGAAGAAAAGAGATGAAGTGACAGAAAAGAATTGAGAAAGCTTGTGAGCCTTGGATTTCAATGTGTCAGAACCATCTTACTGGTTAGCCAAAGAGTGAGTTATGAGCCTGCAGTATTGTTTCTGTTTTGTAGTAAAGAAAAATCTAAAACCCATCATCAACATGGCAAGCTGATAGGGTCAACAGTGATGATAATTCCCAAGACAGTTCTAATATGTAATTTTTTTATTTTTATTAATTAGCTTTAATCTTGTTTGGTTCAACTTTGATTTCTTTTCTGATACTATGGCAATTGGCTGTCGATGCTTTAGACCTTTAGGGATACTTGTAAGACAGTGATAATATGATTCCCTGCTTTTTTTTCTCTATATGTTTATTGATCACACATTATTTTAATCTTTCAGTTCTCGCCCACATCAGAGCACTTATTGCTTGCATACGGTCGTCGGCATAGTTCACTTCTTAAAAGTGTTGTCATTGATGGAGAGGCAACAATTCCCATTTACACAATTCTAGAGGTATAAGCTTATATATTTCTTACTTTCTGGCTATCTGCTTTTTGGAACTTGCTTCCTAGAAATTATGATTTGTATTATCTTAGAATGATTTTAGATTTTAGATTGTGATTCTATGTTAGAAAGATTTGAATGGTGCAGTTCAACTCGCTACTCAATTCGTGTCTAAGGTTTCAAGGCTGTTTAGATGCAATTCAGAGTCCATAGTTTTAATAAGCTTGAAAAAGTTCATTTTTAGTGACTGTTTGATGGTGGGACTTTATGGATTCCTAAGTGAAGGATCTTCACTTATATTCCAAGTTTAATCAGAAATTAGTTATAAAGAATGGAGAAAATACAGTAAAAAGGAAGAAAAATGGCTAAACAAGTTTAGATCTCAGACATTTTCTAGAAAGAACTATTTTTCACAGATTTTGCTGAAATAGTGTTGACGTGTATGTGCTCTATTCCTCCCAGCATCGGGTGGTTATAGTTTCCTAATAACAAAGTCTTGGTGGTAGCTCTCTCATTTGCTGTTATTGACTTTTTACACATCACATATTTTACATTTTTTGAATTGGCTATAGTACAACTTTTAATTTTTTTTTGATAAGAAACTGTTTAGCCATATTAAAGAAGAGATTGAAATAAGTACATCAGGGGCTAGAAATCCAGAAAGAGATTAAAAAAAAAAAAATAAGAAAAAAGGGGAACCCTATACAAGCATTGACAAAAATATGTCAAAGATCATCTTCCCTTCCTGAGCCAAAATAAGCTAACAATACAAAATTAGCACAAAACACCCTCCCAGTTAGGATGTATAAAGAAAAAAGAAGTCATTAAATTCCTTTGAAACTGAATAATACAACTTATACTAAACGCCATGGGTTTTGCTTTATTGAGGAACCTATTAATCTCATCCCTGATTCCAACCGATCACTCCTTGGAAAGAATATATTCACTTTTGATGCAGTTAGGATATATCAGAAGAAATAAAAGATTTTATACTTTTAACTTTTCCCAATTATATATGATAGGATATATATCATTATGGAGAGTAATGATACTTACTGAAGATGCTTTAGAAGTTGTATCTTTTAGCATTTTATTAGAGGTCTCGGGATCGAATGGTGCTCACATTAGGGTAGGAAAGAATTTTTTTGTTTTGAAAAAATAAACAAATAAAAAAAGTTGTTCTTTATATTTTTTATTTTTAAATGCAGTAGAAGTGATATTGCTCAATGCACTGGAAGTATATTCATATCTGATGCTAATATTTTCCCCACTGTATTTCCTTGTGGTGAAACTTTAGGACCAAATCATTTTGAAATTATTATTATTATTTTTTGGTTTGCTTTTCTATCTATGTATGCTATCTTGATTAAATCTTTGTTGTTGACACCAAGGTCTATAGAGTTTCTGATATGGAACTTGTGAGAGTTCTACCAAGTGCTGAGGATGAGGTTAATGTAGCATGCTTTCATCCTTCAGTTGGCGGTGGCCTTGTCTATGGAACTAAGGTAAATATAACATGCTTTGGATTTTGCTTTTGGGAGCCTGCAGCTTTGTATTTAACTTTATTATTGATCTGCTTTAAAATGCAGGAAGGGAAGCTTAGGATTCTACAGTGTGATGGTTCTTATGGCATGAATCACTCAGTGTCTTCCTTTTTTGATGAGAACACACTTCAGGTAGATGAATGCACTGTATTATTGATAATTTGATATTTTCCACTTTATTCTTCTGATGAAATTACGCTTCTTATTAATTTCTTAGAATTATTTTCTTGCCAAAGCAATTCTTCTTGTGTTCATTACATGTTGTTTGACTTTATCCTTCAGTGTGATAATGGATTTAATAGTTTGGTAGTTTACTTCTCTTGGAGATTTATTGTGAATTATGGTTCGCTGGTTTTCACACCATTGAGCTGTATATATCAAATCTGAGATATCTGTTTGCTAACACTGATGATGTGGGTTGTTTCCTGGTTCTTATTTGAACTTCTGACTTATTCTTCTCAAAAGGGGGAAAAAGAAAAGAGATGAAGAAGAATGAAAGTGGTAAATGAGCAAAAAATGTCATCACTTGAAAGATTGGACCGCCCCCACACCCCTGAAAAGGATAAAATGAAACAATAACAGTTCTGTGCAATATAGTTTTAACGTACTTTAGGATCTCGTAAGATTGAGACTTGTTTCCTTTACACATATAAATAAAGGAAATACACAGTTGTTTTTATATTTAGCAGTTACTTATAAGTTTTATGGTGAATGTTCTAGGATATATCTGGTGCAGAAGCAATGGCGTGAAATAAGTGTACCATGTGAATTTTTTATGTTCTATAGATGTTTATCTCATCTTTTTGGTTTGTTGATTAGGAACACATTTGTGTCTGGTGTCGAGTCATAGGATTAAAATGGTAGATACCAAGATAGTAATTTTCTTAAGTGTTGAGCCACTCAGCTACTTTTAATATTTTTAAATAATCAATCGGACTCAAAAGACAAATGAGCATCTGGAAATTAAAAAATCAAGCATGAAAATATTCTTAATCAGGGAGAGGCTAGATATCTGACTGATCCTGTTGGGGAAGTGGCTGCAGTAGCAGAATGTAGAGTCCTTTATCATCGTAAAATTATCTGAGCAATCACAAAGTCTCTGGCAAATACAAAAAAGTAGTTGTATATGTGCACAGACATCTAGATATAAATGGAGAAAGAGGGTGTGTTCTTATCTTCTTTTTCTCTTCTCCTCTTCGATTTGGGTCTGTAGTTGGTGAATTTTCCTTTTAGTTTCATCGCAGATCTGAAATTGGTTGTTCAGATATGGAGTTATTTAACATACCTGACTCTATGAATGTGCTGAAAACATAGAAAGCATGTACCTGATAATCGCCTTTGTGGTCTACATGTTTTTGAGTGCTGGCCTGTGAGTGAAATCAATTGTGTTAAAGGTGTAACTGCTTTAAATTTTGTATTTTTAAGACTTGGTTTAGCAACTTCTTTGTTTTTATGTTACTTGGTGCTTATGTGTTGGCTTTTTCGTTTGTTGTAGGTCCCTACATATGCTTTAGAATGCTAATAAAGTGATCAGTTACCATTATGAGATATGTCACTGATGTTTAAGGTTCGTTTCCTTTTGTGATGTTTTTATTGAATTGTTTAACCTTGTTCACTTCAATTGGCTTTTGCTTAGTTGAACAGAAAAATGAATATTGGTAAGTACTGTTTTTATTATGACTTAAATGTTGGCAAGGTATATTAGTCAACCATATGCTTGACTTCAGATGCATAAGAAATTATTGCCCTATCAGCAACAGGCTGAAGGGATAAACATAAAATAAAGAAACCATATTATTGTTTTTTGACACTCGTCTGCTTAATTGAGGAACTTGCGGTGCGAGATCAAATGGGTTAAAATGCAAGTGTATCCTAAACTCTAGATGGACAGTGCCTAGGTTCTTGTATATGTGGGTTATTGTGACTGGTTGAACTTCTTGGGTACGGAATCAAGTTTAAAGAAATGTCAGTCATTGAAGAGAAGGTGTCTAACTGTAACTGATACAAAGTTGGGATAAGAGGAAGACAAAAAAAAAAAAAAAAAATCTTGGTAGAAGCATGAGTAGAGAATTGGCTGTTCTGGTATAAACACATGCTTCTTTGGAGCCGTATTGTGAAAAATGATTTATTTGCCAATCTAAAGTAGTTGAAGTCGAGACTTTAATAAATTTAGTAACCAATAGCATGCACTCATGTTCTACAATATGTTTTACTTGATTCAATACCTTCTCCATTAATTTCAACAAACATGCTTCCAAAGAATGTTGCTATTAATCAATTGACTGAGAGTAGCTTTGAGCCTATGCTATGGTATTGGATGTGTTCATTATATGGAGTTATTATGTTGGTTCTGGATTTTACCAAATGATTCCAAACTAGAGGGTCCATGTTGAGTTTTTTTTTTTTTTTTTTTTTAATCTTTTCTCTATGTATGCGTTCATTACCATATCATTCTTGAAGTTATTTTATGATCTTTGATTCACCCATGTACTTACCAGATACAACTTAACATTATTTTACACATGTTTTTCAGTTTCCAAATTTGAGTTCTTTAAGGAATTGTTACGAACTTGATAATCTCTCCCCCTTTCTCTTTACAGGTGAGATGACAGGAGGCTATATATTATTTTTCAAGGATAACTACGGAAAGACTCGATTCAATCTCAATCTCCATGCTGCTGTAAATTCTGAACCACACCTGTCTTCAAATGCTTGAACAGATGTTTTGATATAGTAGTGATGATCAATTTGTATTTCTAATTTATGTTTTATGTACCCTTTTCTTGATCTGACAGAGAAATAGGTCAGTCGAATGTCATTGCATTTTAAAACTTTTGATCCCTGAAAGACTGCCTGAATTTTGCTTGATTAGCCTTGTGAAAAGAATTAATTCTAATAGAATGAGAACACTTTCTTTTGTAAGCACGTTTCAATTTTTGATTTTTCATGTATATAGTTTTATAAGTAAACAACAATATAGCTTAGTGGATGGAAGATTATACATGAGTCATGACTGAATGAAAAAATTACAATTACAATGAGTTCATAAACTGTAGAGCTTAATATCTTTGTTTTAAAACCCGGACTGGACTGTCCGGTTCGATCGGGAGCCAACCTTTACTCCGGTCCGGATTAACATAAAAACCGAAAATGTCATTAAACTCGCTTTGGACTGGCAATGGACCGACAGAACAGTACAAAATCGTCGGTTCGTTCGGCTCGGGGCTTAAAACAGTTTGCTATTTTTGGGTATCTGATCCTAAAAAATTCATATTCTTAGTTCCTAGAGCAATTTGTAGCATCGTTTCATTCTCCATTTCATTTGAATAAAAAAACTAAATTGCATCTTCTATTTTCATGTTCTATTCTTCTTCACTTACTCTAAAATCTACAGCGTAAAGAAGAAGAAGTAAGAGGAGGGGAAGGAAGAAGAAAGAGAAGAAGAGACAAGAGAAAGAGTAAGAAAGAAGTTTAGAAGAAAGAAAGGAGGAGATGAAGAGAAAGAGAAGGAATAAGAAAGAGGAGGAGAGAAAAATTACAGTAGAGAGACGCGAATGTGTTAAAAGAAAGAAGAAAGAAGAAAGTGACGGGGAGTGATGGAGCTAGGGAGAAAAAAGGAGAAAGAAGGAAGTGATGGGGAGTGATGGCTTGATGGGGAGAGAGAAAAAAAGGAGAAAGATGGAAGTGATGGCTTGATGGAGAGAGAGAAAAAAATAATTAATAATAAAATCTGTAGGGTGCATTTACTTTATTTTAAACTTACAGAGGCTTATAGGTAAATTTTAGGGATGTATTTGTTGATTTTCAAACTTATAACAATTAATGGAATTGTTTAAAGATGTGACTGCTATATACCGGTTCAATCGGTTGGACCGGTCAACCCGCGAACCGACCCCTTGACCGGGTCAACGAACGGTCCGATTTTTAAAACAATGCTTAATATAACTGATGAGTTCATAAATTGAACTTACATCAACAACAAATCAATAATCGAATGTAGGTGATAGAACACCGACCTGTTAAACCTCCAAGCAACACACAAACTACTCTATCCAATACCAGTTAAAACAATCAGTAGGCACAGGCATGAAAAAGAAATAGACTTTATATTGATATTAAGAATAGAACATTATATTCAGAAAATCATGTTCTATCATCTACCCAACAACCTAATAGCAGAATGGAACAATTCTAAGTACAACAAAAACAAAGATAAAGGCTGAACTTCGAGGGTCAGTCACCTCCCTTTCCAAAACCTTAACCTTCTTTCTGAATATCCCCCAATTCCGTTTGTCCTCCACTTTTATTCCCTAACACCTTTTTCTCATAATCAAATTCTTCACCCTTCCATTCTCATTAAGCCACCTGTCCTCCCAAAACCTACTCCTAACACTCACGCATAAACAAATATTCCTTTATTTCTCACCTTCACCCTTCCTATTGTAGACCAGCCTCCCAGGTATAGCTCATCATTTCCCTCCTCAAGGAGAACCACCTTGTCCTCAAGGTGGAAGAAAGGAAATCAAGAGTTGATTGTGTCAAAATCCTCCCAAGTGTTCTCATAAGGAGGTAATCCTTTCCATTGAATTAGTAACTCCTATTGTCCATTCAAGAGCCTTCTTTTTTTGAGTACAACTTCTGGTTCAACCTTCAAAATAAAATCTTCATTAAGGGCTTCCGATAGGGGTTGGCTATTAAGGAGTGGGAAAGTTGCATCCTTCAATTGTGAAACATGGAAAACGTCATGAATACGAGCTGAGGGAGGTAATGCCAGCCTATATGCTACTGTCCCAATTCTGTCATTGATCACAAATGGACAGTAAAACCTCGGACTAAGTTTCTCATTATACCGATGAGGTAGAGATCTTAGTCTATAGACTGCAACTTCAAATACACTTATTCCCTTATCTCAAAAGTAACTTCTTGCCATCAGTTATCAGCATAAGTCTTCATTCGGTTTTGAGCGTTGAGGAGATTCTCTTTTAACTCCTCGATTACGACTCCGGAATTGTTGGTCGACTTCATTGATTGAGGAAGTGTGGTCAATATACCTCAACACCGTTAGAGAGTTATGGCCATACAAAGCTTTAAATAGACACATACTTGTGGAGCTACTATAAGTCATGTTGAACCAAAATTCTGCCCACGGAACCCATCTCGGCCACTATTGGGGTTGGCTATTGACAAAGCACCTGAGGTATGTCTCCAAACATTGGTTTACCACCTTAGTTTGATAGTCCATTTGTGGATGATAAGCTGAGCTCATGTGTAGTTAAGTTCCTGACTGTTTAAATAATTCTCCCCAAAAGTTTCCCATGAAAACTCTATCACGAACTGAAACAATGGTGTGCGGAAACCCATGCAACCGCATTATCTTTTTGATAAATAGATCAGCTACCCCTTTAGTTGTGTAAGGATGCTTGAGAGTTAGAAAATGGCTATATTTTGTTAGTTGATCGACAACTACAAGAATGGTGTCTACCCCATGAGCCTTTGGAAGCCCCATAATAAAGTCTATTGAGACATCTTCCCACACTTGTTTAGGAATAGGCAGTGGCTGTAGCAAACCTGTTGGACTCAAGGCTCCGTATTTGTTATGTTGGCAAATAGTGTAGGCTTCCACAAATTCCTTAATATGTTTCTTCATCCCCTCCCAATACACTATATTCGTGATGCATTTATATGTTGTTATTGATTTTCGCAAGTGTACGAAATCGTGCAAGTAATAAAGTGTAAGAATACGGATGTCGAACCCAAGGGAATTACTAATACCAAGTACCAATTAAACTATTCTATTACTATTTGATTAATCAGATTTTTAGAACGATTCAATGAAAAATAAAACAACTTAGAAACAAAATAGAAACAGACTTTTATTAACACTTTAGTAGGAAATCAATATGACTAAACCTAGGGCATAAATTTCACACCAATTTAATCTTATGCATTGACAATTATCGTTAACCCAATTAAGCTTATTCTAAAGACCAAACTCCCTAATATTTCGCTAACTTTCTCTCGAACAATTAACAAATTAACTCCTAATTACTAACCCGAATTATCTCTAATCAGATTTAAGCAATTGGAGATCATTAAGTTCTATGGAATTTACTAGAGCCTCACAGATCGCGGTAACCTATCTCTAGCGTTCGCTCAATCTATGGTTTTATTACCTTAGACTAATTAGGTTTCATCTCTCGATCTCAACCTAACCCATAAAATCATTCAACTCTAGGGCCCTTAAGAATTGAAAGCTTTAAGCGCAATAATAAAACTTAAAACAAAACTTAATAAAAATTAGCAACAAATAATTCAATGCATATTCATAAAATTGGGCTACATCTTAGCCCTAGAAAATAAAATTAGTTCATACTTTCAGTAATAAAAGTCATTATATTCATAAACATGAGTATAAGAAAGAGTAGAAAAACTTCTCTAATTGATGACTCAAAATTGCAGGAATTTCCAATCTCCAATCAGCCGCCCAACTTCTCTCTCCTTTTTCCTCCCTAAAAATAAGCTAAAGACATCTATTTATACTCCTAGGGTTTTAGGGTTATGATTCCCACTATCCTAATCACATTAGAACTCTTAAAACAGGAAATACACGTCATAAATTTAATTTAAAAAAGTCCAGAATCGCAGTTGTGCCGCAGCATTATGCCTAGGCATAGTTGATTCTGCCCCAGAACTCGAAATCTTGACAAGATGGTGGTTTTTGAGCATGATAACGTTCGAATCTTTCCAAGTGGTAAACACATGAATTGTAGCCCTTTGAATCAGCTTTCCAACGGTTCAAGATGCATCTCAATCCAACATCTACAGATCAAGTTATTGTCAAATTAATGTCGCATGTTCAAAACTGGAGCGTTTTCCAGGATTTTCACTTTAACTTCAAATCGCCCTAACTTCTTCGTTTCAGCTCCAAATCACGAACCATTTGATTCTTGTCGTCCTACATTCCATCGTCGATATAACCTTCATCTGAATATCATCTTTAAGAACATGAAAACACTCGAAACATACCCGTGATCCCATAAAAGACATTTATGAAATAATTAAGTTAAATTTCACAAATTAAACACATTTTTCCACAAATAATCCAATTGAATCACTAACAAAATATGTATTTTCAAGCTTGTATCATATGTCCAAAAGAAGCACGAATGGCCCCCAATGGGCAAGGAATGGAACTTATGTAATATTTTCTGGATATGAGGTCCAGATTTAGGCACCTGTCATGATACACTAGATGTTGTCCCACAAATCTAAAATGAGGATGGCTGTTTGGGTTGACCAAAAGCCGTTGCATGATCCCGCGTAACTTATCATCCTAATGAATGACATCTTCTAAATTTGTTATACTCGAGAAGCAGCTCATAGGGAGAGCATGGTTTTCTACAACTTCTGGCACTCTAGAAAAAACATCTACCACCTTGTTCTGTAGCCCAGTTTTGTACTGAATTATAAAGTCTAGCCCCAATAACTTGATAATCCATTTTTGCTGATTCTCACTCAACAATTTCTGGTCAGTTAAGAAGTGGAGACTTCTATGATTGGTCCTGATAACAAAACGTCTTCCCAATAGATAATGGTGCCATTTTTGCACTGCCATGACTATGGCCATTAATTCTC